TTACTATTAACATTATAATATTACTACTAATAACGCTAATTACTACTAATAATATGAATACTAATAATAGTTATATAATAATCATTTTTTCATGTTTTTCAATGCGGCAGTACAGTTTTGGAAGGGGAAAAAAAAAACTTTGGTACTGTTTTGTTAGCATCTCTTGCTCCCTGAGAGCAAATCACTTGTCCTAGCACTCCTAACTGTCTCTCCACACAGCAAATGTCTTGCAGGTCATTGTATAGGGGTCGAGAGCAGACAGACGGCTGTAATTGAGTGCAGTGAGTGATGCAGTAAAGCACTCGTGTAGAGTGTGCATCGCGTGAGTCTCCCTGACAGCATCCAGCCCCAGCATTGTTTTAATTACCTCACCTTGCATCTCTCTCTCTCTCGCTCTCTGCCTGTCCCTCTTTCCTTCTGCTCTGAATTCAGACAGCTGCTTCCAAACTACTTTAAAACATTTTTTTGTTAACCATGTAAAACATCACCAAATGTCTCAGGAAGACTTCTAAGCATCTCAGAGGGGGCCTGCCACGACTCAGAGCTCTGGAAATGTCCGTGTTTGATTGTCAACAAGATTTTTAGAACTTGACATCTGTCTCTCAATATTTGTGTGTGTGTGTGCGTGCAGCTGTCTGAATCAGCTGGGAGATGGGGGCCCAATGTCAGGCATATCCCTCATCGCCTCGGGCTTCCTGCATGAACTGTCCGTCACCTACACACAATCAGCGGGGGAGGACACACACTCCAGCACAAGAAAATATATCACTGTGCTGTAGATATGCAAACATGCACGTATCCTTCCACAAAGAAAGCACAGTGGTTACTGTCAACGGATAAGTCTAGATGTAGAGCACCAGACAGAGTCATAATTAGGCCCAGATGGATTTTGGACGTTTTCTTCATTTTCTGTCCTGATTTTGGAAGAAAATCTGTGGAATAGATTTACTTACTTAAATATGGTAAAAGGTCTTAAATGGACCTGAGAGTACTGCAGTTTTATTGGTAGTATGAAGTATAATCACACTGGCTAAAATATTGACTCAAAAATATCTTGGGAATTTTGTAGAATTCTGCTAATATAATGAATTCAACAGTGCAATAAACAAGAAGTTAATATTGCGTAACTGAGATTTTAGATAAAATGTCGGAAGATACTTTGGGCCAGATTTACTAACAGCTTGTGCCAGCGCAAACCATCTTTTGGCGTTACAATAGTACTGTCAGGATTTATTAAAGATGTGCAGTGAAGAATTAGCGCTGAAATGGCGTGCACCTGACCTTATTGAATATGCATTCATAGGAGTTTCGCTTTCAAACACAAAATTTATGGGAGGAGAGTATTAAAATTAATCATGCAACGCGATTTACTAACGTTTGCACTTGTCAAATTACTGGTATTTTCGCCATTATTTAATGCCTCCAAAAAAAGCATGTCTTAAACTATTTTGCACCTGTGTCACAAGTAGATCACCCGCACCTGATGAGCATCGGCTCTGCTTATTTGCGACTATGCTAATTTGTGCTGCGCTTGGTATATTGTGTTGGTTGATATGTAAATGAGATGTTGCGTCTGTGTTCTTTAATTTGCACGTTGTCAGTAAATCACCCGTAGAAATTTCCATGCCCATCGGCACTGTTTTGGAATTGCGCTCTCGCGCCAATTTACCCTGTTTAGTAAAATTGGCCCTTTGTCTATTTTTGCTCAGCCAATGAGAATTAGGGATGCACCAATATTAAAATTCTGTCTGAAAACCAATAAAATGGCAGTAATAAAATAAAATAATAAATGAAAAAGCCAGACAGACAGAAAGACAATTAAAAAAAAGAAAGAAAGAACTTAAAGATTCTTAAAATAAAAAAGTACAGTGAAAAATTGATATTTATTTTGAGATTTGCTAGAGATTACATTTAACAGTGTTAAAATTATTAGCATTTTTAAAGATTAACTTTAAGCTAGCATGATGTTTGCACAAGTAATAGATATGTAAAATAGTAGAAATTAGCATAAACAATTAAACATACCATATTGGTTGATATTGTTAAATAATTAAAATAAGTCTATTATTATCTGATAAGTAGTATATGGTACTAACATATTCTGCATCCCTAATGAAAATAATTCCAAGTGAAGCTAAAACAACTGTAAAAACAGTCTGACTGGAATGTGCAAACAATGACATGAGGAGTCAGACAAAAAGTGAAACTTCCCTGCTGTTCGACTGAATATTAGTGCCGCTCAGCCAATCAAACGGGAGGACTGGTACTAACTGTTTTATAAGAATGATTAACATGCCACACACAGGCAAACAAGGAGGCTTCTGATGCAAAGTCCAAGATTATTTGTTCTGGGGCATGTCAAAAGCTTCCAATTTCCTTGTCTGTCTTTTGGGACATGAATAAGATTATTTAAAAGTCAGCGTTAGGCAGAAGGCCTTTGGGTAGATCTTCACAATGAGTCAACTCTTCCGAATTCTCGTCTTCCTCCTCCCTCCCTCGATTTTCGCTCTCGCTCTCCCTTACCCATAAGCAGCAGCGGCGCGATTTCAATCATTTCGTAACCTCCCAGCAATCATGGCTTTAACTCCCCTGTTATTTAAAACAATCTGAGCTCTGAGCGCGAGTTAATCACTGCTTATACAACATCAGTCAGGGTTATTCATTCTGTTCCAATTAATCATGCCATTTATCTACATTGTCTGAGCCTTCTGCTCAACAAATTCATCTGTAATGACACAGACAATTCACATTGTTGAATTTTATCATGTATGTGGCAAACGGCGGGCAAATTGCTGGAGATTACGTACGCGTTTGTGTACACGCCGCTGTGTGCGTCGATTTCGGCGAGCATAAATTCAGCGCCATCTGGTTTTGGCTCTTTACTGCACGGCTCTCTCACTTAATTAACTGGAGGCCATTACATTTCCTGAAATGTTTCACTTTCTCTGGTTCATGTCATGCAGGCAGGCAGGAGGGGAGCAGGGAAGGACTCAATTAGACCAACGCCGCTCCCTGGATATTACACACTTGGTGTGTGCCAGTTAAGGGGGCGTGAGGCTGGTGCAGGGCCTGAACGTCTCTCGCTGCGCCTACCCTGTCAGCACAGATAAAGGCCTGCCTGTCTGCGTTAGATCCCGCCCACACACACGCATTCAGACAAGCTCCAGCTGCCAAAACACTTCATACCAACCAGCAGAGAGCTAGGCGTACATAAAGACTAACACGCATTAATACTGCCCAACAAAGACTGCAGCTACACGCTATGTATGCGCTATTTAATTAGCCTGAGAAAAAGCTAAATTGTGGCTGTCAGTTTAACAGGAACTACAGCAGCTCTATAAATAGTCTGGGTGAAGAGAATCTGAATCTGACCAGCATCAGTGTTTAATTTCCTGGTTGGGCTGTTTGACAGTATACAGTATAACGCAACACTGGAAATCGGTCGAGATTTATATTGCAGCAGACATTTATGCGGATATCGGTGGGCAGGATTGCTTTATGTAATTTCTACACAATAGAAACAAAGAAATGTGAAAATACACTGCCAATACTTGGCTCAAAATGAGTAAGAACTTCACATTTTTTAAATAAATTCAAATGGTGTGTGTGCAGAACGTATCGCCTGTTTTAAAACGTTTCCAACGTGATTCATCCAATCAGAATTCAAAGATCTGTCACATGACTTCACTTTGCACATTTTTAATTTGGATATTGGTGTGCGGAATCCCTTTTTGTGTCATTAGTTTGTAACTCAAGTGCAACATAAATCAGCTACTTATTATGATTATTTTAATTTCTGTCAATCTGTCGAAGTTCTAAATGAATGGAAAAAAAATTTAAGTATCCTTTCATATACCACCATTCATATTTTTCTTAAAAAAAAAAAAAGTCTCCATGCTCACCAAAGGCTGCATGCCTTACAGCAAAACAGTAATATAAATATTATATTTATAGTAACTTATATTTATATTATAATTTAGGGTTTCTACTGGAATATAAGTTCAAATGTAATTTATTCCTGTGATGCAAAACTGAATTTTCAGCAGTCATTACTTCAGGCTTTAGTGTCACGTGATCCTTCAGAAATCATTCTAATATGTTGATTTGGTGCTCCATAAATATTTTGTATTATTATTAACATTGAAAACAGTCGTGCTACTTAATATTTGTATGGAAACTGTAATTTAAAACCATGAATCACATATTTTTTTCAGAATTCTTTGATGAATACAAATTTTTAAAACAACAGCATTTACTTGGAATCATAAATGACATAAATACTGTCACTTTTGATTAATTGAAAGTGTCCTTGTTGAATAAAAAAATAATTTCTTTCTAAGTTACTATTGATAACTGATCTTACTGCAAAATCTTATTGGTAGTGTGGAAAAACCTACCATGCAAAATATACTGTTACCACGAAATACATTTTCTCACACCATGGAGTTTTTGGTCATACCACCCACCCTTACCCATAAGATGAAAATAAGTGCTGAAAAGATATTTAGATATAGAGGTAAAGCTTTAACTTGTTAGGGCTGACTCTCAGCACAAGTCAAACACCTCTACCCCACACTGCCACTACCAGAGCGTGGACCTGACTGAGACCACGATGACTCAGAACATTACTCCAGTGTCTGAGTCTCAAGTGCTGAGGTAAGAGGATGTTTACGGCCCAGTCTGCAGCCGGCCTGTGGGGTGTTACTCTCACAATGAGTACGGTCAGTGCTGGACGACAATGCATTTGAAGTGAGATGACTATTCTATGTGTATGATTACAAAAATATAAAATTTTAAATGAAAAACAATTTCAAATTGTAATTAATTTGGGTTCCTTGTCTATGCAAAATCTCGCATCTGAACTGTTGCAGGGCAGGGAATGGACCACATCAAATAAACAGCAAGAACGGAACGACAGATAAGTGTTACATGATAAGACAAGCAACTAAACTCTTTCACATGTACTTTTATGCCGTGTGTGTCCACATAAACATACTCACCGTCTCGTTGCCAAAAAGGATGTCCACATAGGGCATAACCTTCATCAGGGCCTCCTTGAAGAACTCACAGATGAATGGAGCTGACAGATTTAAGCAGAAGATCTTGTTGTTTTCAGAAGCGTGTTTGGCTACCTTCAGGATCGACTCCAAGGATACAGTCAGGAAAAACCCCTTCAGAAGAAGACAAAAATGAGAGTTATAATTTGTGCAGTTTTTGAGACTTGGCCTGGTTTGAGTTATTTTCTGCACATTTATTCAGTTAAACCCACATACAACTAGAGATTTTGAAGCTGCTATATCAGTAAATCTCAGCATTACAACACAAGAGAAAGAAAAATAAAAATAAATTTTCCTCCTCTAAGTGGAGTAAACATGGCTAAGCTTGATATAATGGAGAGTATGATGAGGCACAAATAGGATTAAGGTTTTAGGAGATGAGAATGAATGATGACAAATAGAGTCCATAATTGCGCTGGTGCTTCCATCAGAGAGTAGGGAGAGTGCACAGAGACAATCCAATACAACAAAAGGCACCTTGGCCCACCTCCTCACACGGGGACAACTGCAAGGTCACACGGCTCTCTGAGGAGCACTTACACATCTCCTTTATGCCTGTGCTGAGGGCTCTCTCTGTGCAAACATAAAAAATATGCATACAACATTGTTTTTGTGAACCTTCGTTCTTTTACAAACTAGAGAAGCCAAAAACCAAAAGATTTTTGTTAAAGATGAATTAAAAGACTTCTATTTAGATAAAGTAAATCAAAAGTGTTTTACTTATATATATATATATTTAATTATATATAAAAAAAATGTGTGAAATAACATGTACTGAGACCAGAGTTGGGTAATAACTGATTACATGTAATCTGGACTACATAATCGGATTCCAAAAATGATGTACTTGTAATTTGATTAAATTACATTTTAAAACACCGTCCTAACTATATGCAACGCGACAAGCAATTTGGGTGTCCACACTAGACGCGACAGAATCAATCAAATATCACAGCTAATCAAAAGTGTGTGTGGGTGGGCTCTCTCTGGAAGTGCTCTGCACTCGCAACGAAATGGATAAATTTATAATCTAATTCATAAATATTAAACCTTTTTTAACATTAATAAATGTACATACTGAGTGACTGATACCATCTTTGTAATGGAATACACTCGTTGGTTCGTATTGTTTTAACGTAGGCCTACATCTCTGCTTTAATTTATTTTCAAGATCTGAGGTAAACTGTTGTTAATCTGTTGTTGCTTTCAGTAAGGCCATGCAATATGATATTCAAACTCGCATTAGACACGTTTAACTTGGAATAAAGCACATAATCACCTGAGATTATCTACTGTCATATAGTTTGTATGTTGTTGTTGCAGCCGCGACGTCGCGGAAATAGAAACAGTTTCTAAAATAGAAATTTTACGTGTCGCCGTCGCGGCTAGTTAGGACAAAAACTCCGATTAACATGGAAAAGATACTTATATCATGTGTCGCGGCATCGCTTCTTGTGTAGTTAGGACACGGTGAAATACTTGTAATCAGAAGTCTTCCAGTTTTTCCTTCACCTAATGTATTTACTTGAAGTACCCATGAGATTTTAAAATACATATTTTAATAATCAAGTATCACATTTGATGTCCACATGTTCACACTTCTCTGACTTTGGTCAATGGTAACATGACATGCAGGTAAACAAATAAAATATTTATTTTTAAAAATATTTAATTATTATTATTTTTTTTTAGAATACATTTTATGATCTAATTAATTATTAGCTTTTCGTTAAACTCATGAACCCCCTGCAGTTGCTTTACGAACCACAGTTTAGGAAACCTTGACGTAATATAATGTTTAATGCACTTCATGTTGTTAATTACAACGAATGGAATATATTTTCTTACTCTTTGTATTTTTTTATACCAATATGGTACAAGATCCTATTTAAATCAATGTGATTAACGAATTAGGTCAAAAGTAATGTAAAAGTAATCAAAAAGTAGTCTGATTATATTACCTAATGTGTAATGTAATGGATTACGTTACTACTTTTGTCATGTAATTTGTAATCAGTAACGGACTACAATTTGTAAATAATCTACCCAGCTCTGACTGGTATAGTAATATAATAGTGTTAGATGGTAATACAATAATACTTTGATATATATATATATATATACACAATAGAGCCAAAAAAAAAAGTTTTATATTAAATGATACCACAATACTTCGATATGTACAACAGAGCAAAAAAAAAAAAAAAGAACACCCTAATTTATAAAATACAATAATATAATTTATGTAATAAAACACTGGGCTCTGTGGCAGTATCCAGTATCAGATGGTAATACAATGATTGTTCAGTATATACCATAATGCAAAAACCTATGATTACCATGGTACCATGCCCAAAATACATGTTCATATCACAATTAGAATTTTTTTTAAAGAATTTTGATATTTGTAAGCTATCCAAAAACAGTTTGTCAAGTGTATTATGCTCCCAGAGAGGCAATCTGAAAACATGATGTGATTTTCCCCTTGCTAGCATTGCACGGCCTAAGAGAGCCATTTGAGCCCAGTGTGATGGCTGCTCTCCAGCCTTTGTTCCAGAAGGACAGGAGTAAAAAAAAAAAAAACATGCTTGCATCTGATGAAGTGGAAAACAAAGGTCTTGTCTGGATTCTTCTTACCGAGAAACAAGAGAGGCTCCTCAGTTCATTGTGTGAATGAATACAGACCTGGTAAGGAAACACCTTCACGTTTAAACCTGAAACCCTACACTGGGCCTGTTCCTTCGATACAGTTCTTCTTGCACTGAGAGAATAATTCAGAGATACAGTGCAGGTGAGATTAAGGGGGATAGGAGAACAAGGAGAGGGAGAAAATAGAGAGAGAAACACAATAGAGAGAGTGTGTGAACGAGAGAAAGGTGCACTGCTAGAGGAACGCTGGCTTTTACTAACGCTCAGAGCACTCCATTAAAACAGATGAGGCTTTTGTAGCTGAGAGTGGAGAGAAGTGACCTTCAAGTGTTTAGTGTGACTGTGTCAGCTATTACACCTTTCACACACAGGAATCTGAGAGGCTTGTTCTGCCACCAGTCATTTGGGCATACATTACGCTACTGCAACTAACTACAGATGACGACATCACCTATCTGAGATACAGCAAACAGATGAAAAGAAATGTAATATGACAAATAAACTCTGTAAATATAAGATATAATTTCTGCCCTTCACACAAAATTTAAAAAAAAGTTTCTGGGGGGGGGGTACTTATTTACATTATAAAATATTAACTTATTTATATATATAATAAATATAAATGTTGTGTCTAAATTATATTAAATAAATATTATATTTATTATTTTACATATATACAGGGTTTCTGCAGGATTTTAAAGCTCAAATTTAAGACTTTTTAAGACCTTTTTTAAGACCTGCACAAAT